AAAAAAAAAAAAAAAAAAAAAAAAAAAAAAAAAAAAAAAAAAACACCAGAGTTATATATTTTGGAAGACATTTACCACGGTAAACCAAGGTATGACAGAATTAAAATGATCTCTAACGTATTTAATTATAGACGATTTTGTCAATTCCATTTGCACTTGTTTACTAAGGTACCAAGAATCATTGAAAAACCTCAGAAGAATGGATATGAAATCATAGGCTATGCTCGAAAATCACCAACAGGCGAAGACGTTGCTTGTAGAACAAGACTTTTGAAATCCATGGTATCAAGTTTGAAAGAGCGATCTTTTGCAACCAAAATATCCGTTTCATCTTGTATCTGGGCCTCCTCGCGTGATTTACAAGGTAATCTACAAGTTATGGACGATTTAAGTGTTGATGGTAATACACAGGACCTGCTTGCCTACCTTAAGTCTGTTCGCCTGATGTTTGCTTGGTTACCATTGACTTTGCTGGTACAATAACAAGAAGTGAAGATATTGTTAACTTGGTTGAGGCAAATCCCTCTTTAATAAAGATTGTAATTGAAACCTTTGCCCTATGCAATGAAGTGTTTATTTTTGACACTAAGAAATTAGTTAAAGATAATGACTTATTACAAAAATCTGAGAATTTATATTTACAATTATTGTTGCTGGAGTACTTTTGATGGTACAAGTTATCTATATCTCGCATATTTTTAATCTTCAGTGGTCAAATGAAATAACGTTAAAATGATCAACATACAGAAGTCACTGAAAGAATTAAATTAAACCAATTATGGTTTAGAAAGTCTTTTCATCTTTTAATCAGCTTAACTGCTTCATTAATTTCCACTCTTATCATTATCATTGGCATAGGGTCATTGGGGAAATAGTAACATGGGTCATATGGGCTGCGATGACACACACAAAGTTCATCTTTTTTCGCGCGCTTTTCAAACCTTACACAGTTTGGTATTCAAGGTCACAAGGCGGTAACTATCAGGCTCCATTCTGTGGCACTGACCATCTGTTACGTCTTTCTGCTTTATTCTTTTATTTCATCAATTCCCTTTAAAAAGAATAGTAAGCTAAAAGATTGCTTTTTTTGAGCATGCATATGCATCATTACAGATAAAGAAAACGTCATCAAAAGGACATAGTTTGAATGAACTGCGGCTAAATGGATGGGCTTTGTTTGTCCAACGAGGTAATAAATAATAATTTTAAGTATGCACTCTCGCACGATATTAATGAATGGGACAAGGGCCGCCCCTTAATTTCCTTTTATATAAAGCTGAAACAAACAAGCTGATCGGGACACTATATCTTGTGTTGAGCAAATGATAGATAAGCTTATACTCTTTCACTTTTTGTATGTATTCAGAGATAATCCATACCTCTTTAAGCCACTGATCATCTTGTTTACTTGTTCTATTAAGCTTTTATTTTGTTTGTTTATTAGAAATCAAACTGTTTCATAATTATTATTGCAAAAAAGAAAATATTATCTAAAAAAGGTTGTATTTATGCATCCGTATGCACATGTACTTATTAAGCCAAATTATATGGATATCTTTGTATATATAAATATACATCATCAAAGGCCTATCTATAGCCACGCTTTCTCCCTTTCTTTTATTCGTCATGAATTCTACTGCTTCACCTGTGCTCACATTTAGGTCAGATTCCGAGCCTCTTTTTTCATACATGGCTTATATCGCTCGTAATTTGGTTCAATGCTCAAAAGAACGCATCTATCATCAACATACACTGCTACCTTCTTTACCCAAGTTTGTTAAAGCCATCTTTAAAAAGTGTCGACTCAGTCCTGCTGTCACAGTGGTAGGGTTAATCTATTTAGAGAGATTAAAGAAAAATTTGCCCAATGGAGCGAAAGGAGGTAAGACCAAAGGATTGAATACACAATACACTCTAACTAACATATGAATAGAATACGATACACCTTATAAATTGTTTTTGGCTGCAATGATACTAGCAACAAAGTATATTGAAGATCACAGTGACCATGCAGTATACATTTATAGAGCTGTCTCACCAATTTACACACCACAAGAGCTCAATGAAATGGAAAGGAGCTTTTTGAATATTTTAAAAGTAAGGAAATATCATGTAAAAGGGAATCTATTGAACTAACGTTGTACATAGTTTGACTTGTATGTAGACTCAGATCAAGTGGACAAATTTGTTAAAGCTCATCAAGATAAATTACAGCTCCATTTTGCATAAAACGCGCATACATCCACTTGTGTACATAGTAGACCTGCATACAGTAAACATATAGTTTTCAAATGTTGTAATAGCCAATCAATGACTCTCTTCTTCTCCATTAAACATATCAATGGGTGATACAGTTCATCCCTTGACGCTTGTGTATTGTAGTACTGAAAATACTCTTTACATGATAATGTTTTATGTTACTAGTAAATTAAAGCTATAATATTTTATTCAAGTATACAATTGTATAAGAGGGGGTATATTATTAAACAAAAGATATATAAATTATGCATACACATCTACACCTGTCCAATTAGTGGTAGCAAGTGGGCATTGATCTACAGAGCCTCCGCTATTACCCCACCATGTTGGGAACTTGATTTCAGTGTTTTGGAAAGCAAAGAAGATAACGATGGCACAGATGGCAACACCAGAATCAAGGGCAGCAGATAAGACATAGTTGTACTTTTTCCACCATGCATTGGCACGTCTCTTGATGAAGAAATTGAAAATGAATCCAACAAACGCCCATGTCGTAGCAACGTTAGTAGGTGCTGGTGGATAGGGAGTTGGGCCCAACATGACTACAGGAATACTGATATGACGAACCCAAGAGTTGGGATACTTTTTCTTCAGCAAATAAAATGGAATGGGAAGTAAGAAACCGGCCAGTAAGAAGAAGGCAATGCCATGATACAAAGAGTCAGGAGCAAAGAATCGGTTAGGACCAATCAAGCCCCAGATAACGGAGGATGCACCAAAGAGACCAGCGTTAGGACATGTCCAAGGGTAAGCTGCCTTTGTACAGATATTTGGGATGGAGTTCATCAGATAGTTGGTTGTTCCAAGAGAAATAAAGGAGGCAATGATGGTGCCGACTACTTGGAACGTAAACATTTCACGTGGTGGAATTTTCATATAATGACCTAGTTTAAGATCCTGAGCAAACAAGAGAGCTTGACGCACAGTGATGTAACCATAAGTCTTGAAAATCATGTTACCAATTGGGTGACCGGGACGAATGGCACCATAGACCCATTCCGTAATCATAGAAATAGTTGGAGATTGTGATGTAATGGCAGTAATGATACCAATAGGCAGTAACCAGACAAAAGCAAGCACGACAGCAATGATCAATGCCCACCAGGGAATATCTGATGGCCAATGAATAATCGTGGCAAAACTAAGGCCAAGAGCAATGACAAATAAGACAGCATACCAGTAATCAGGCACTTCCTTGTAGTTGTCCATTAATCGCGCATGAATGTCGTCGTCTCCTTGACGTGCATTCTTGAGTCGTCTCCAAATATCCTTACCGTTATAGAGAATGGTGTGTGTGATAATTGCACCTAGGGCAGCTAAACCTTGTCCGTAACAGATAGCAAAAAATCCAGTGATACGAATTGGAGAATATTCCTCGTAGGCTGTTTCATTGAGGAACTGCTCAGGAGTAAGCACGCGTGTACGGTTAAATGGAGCACCATATATGTCATATTGATGAGTGTTGTATAAAGGAAACTTTTTACTTTCCCAGGTGTCGGTGTAATAGATGATGGGGACCAAGATATAGATGAAAAAGACGAAGCCTGCGAGCATGTTTGCTTGAACAACCCAAGGAATGGCAAGAGGACTAGGATACCATGCAGCAAGCTGACTCCAATCCAGAGTGAAACTACCAATACCAAGGCCGTTTACACCACTACCGATTTGAGATACAAGGATTGAATCTTTCTTGATCCAACAAATCCAAGAAATGGATGTCAACACGGGAATAATGTAACCAGGGAAGAAATACCAGCAGAAAGAGGCAGTAAAGGCAATCAAAAAGAATTTGTTACGACTCAATTTCAATCCGGGAGTCAGTGCTTCAGCGTCTGCAACTTCTTTGGGTACCTCTTTATGAAGTGTGTGGAAAAGTGTAGCGTTGACAAGATTGATTGGCCAGACCATGGATGCAGGACGCACAAGGAATCGTCGAAGAACGCCAGCAAAACCAAAACCAAGCAAACTGGTGGTGAGTACCAGCAGAATACCACCACCGAATCCCCAATCCTGGTTGTAATATAACTTTTGAACGACAATGATATCAATAGCATCAAATGAAGTGGCTGCTGCGTTAGCCATAACAGTGATCAAGACGTGTTCCTTGACATTGAATGGACCAGGATTTAAGTTGAATCTGAATCGACCCAAAGCGAATTCATAGTTAGGAAGGATCTTTTCTGATAATTTGCCAGCTGGAAAGGCTAACAATTGAACTACAATGACCTTGATTGTCAAAGGATTTGCTCGGAACCAAAAGAACTACAAAAGATGTTAATATAAAGCAAGAAACCACAATTGTATATATCTTACTTGATTTGTAAATGATATGGCAGCAGAGAAAACAATACCCCAAATCCAAGCTCTGAATGTTGCAGTGGGTAATGAAGGATCATCTGTGGGAGGAATACTTGCTCTGACTTCTTCAATAGGTGAATCTTCAATTGATGCAACTTCAACTGAGGCTTTCTCCAATGATGATTCACTATTTAGCGACTTTTTATAGACCGAAGCCTGTACATCAGTCTCTAGGCTCATTTTAAGTTTGTGTTTGTTTAAAGTGCAAATCAATAAAAAAAGGGTCCAAAGTATTTATATGAAAGGATTTCCAAAATTGTAAGAGAGTCTTTCTGAGTTACTATTTACCCAATCACATCACACTTGTTGTTATTCTTTGGCCTGAGCACGCCATCGTTTGCGAATGAGCATTCATTAAAAAAAATTTTATTGTTACTACACTCAATTTATTACAAATCGAAACTTTATCTCTCATTATAAACCTAAAGTTACCATGGTAATGCCATCCTTACCATTAGTCCAATGATTCTTCATTATGTTTAACATGTACTCAATACTGTTCCACCTCCATATCACGTTTTACCAGATATAAGCTACAACTACGCTGTTGAGTGACATAATCAAACAGGTAACAATAAGTATCACCATGGTTACCATGATCCGTTACTCGGTAACATTGTGACAAAACACGCAATTCCTCTTTTTTTTTCGCATGCCCAAAGGCAACAGTTATTCAAAATTGCGCAATCCCGATGATGTTACACGAACTAGACTTCTAAACTATTCTTTCCTTTTAAGTTGTTGCGCGGATTCAACTGAGCTTATTTGGCCTTCTTTCATTACATTCAATACTCAATGCAAATGTCAAGATGACATCAATCGAATAATCAATGTAAATGGTTAGAGATCAAATTAGATTTTACAGGAAATAAAAGCCAGATGAAAGAAAATTACCTGGAAAAAGGAGTGGAAAGGGCTCAATAACAGCACTAGTTATGCATGCAATCATCTTGAACACTTTGGATGTTCATCTAGTATATCCTGATGCATATCAAATAGCAAAAAGACCTACAACCAAGTTGAACTCAAAGCGCAGTCAATATCTTCGTGTAACAGTTATACACTCTTTCCGGAAAGTAATTTTTTTTTTTTTTTTTTTGTAAAATGGTATATTTTATTCAAGTACTGCCAGTTAGCTTGTACTTATTAAAGAAAATAATAAAGAGCATAGAAGCACGGAACAAAATAAAGGTTGCGTTAACCTGAGCGAGATGTTTTTAGACGCTCTCTATAGATATTCTCATCATGTATTCGCTTGATTGCTTGCGTTGCTTGTGCAGCAGCTTCATCGGGCCAGAAGGTACGACCATCAAATACAATACGCCAATGACACCGCCAGATAGCCCAGACCGTACAAGCAATGATTGTTTGACCATCAACACGTAGTCCTGAAAGCACTTGTATATGTTTAGACGAGCCTAAGGCCAGGGATTCATAGGCAAGTCTCGCAGTAGGCTGCAAAAAGCGATTT